GGAATGTTTGCATTCCTAAATAGACAGCTAAAAGTTCCAGATAATTTATGTGATGTGTTTTTTCCTCTGATGTCCAGAGTCCGCCGGTAGATTCATCCCCATAGACCGCGCCCCAACCTTTATTACTTGCATCGGTTGTAAGGGTGCAATCCGGGTCTGGTATTGTTATGAGGCCATAGCATGTCGAAATGTTGTTAATCCACCAGTCTAGTTCAATTAGCGCGTCGGCCGAGAGTGTCATACGACTGTCAAAATCCCCTTTGTTAACCTTAAGGGCGTTTGTTTTATCTCTTTCGAGAGCGCGGAAATAAAGAGGCCCGAATCTTGAGCCAGGAAAGGACGAAATTATAGTCCCTATTACTTGTGCTGTGTTACGCGTGGCCTTACGTAAGGAAATACAAAGGGATTCTAATTTGTTTGCCTTTTCTCCCGTGAGGGTTATTGACATGGTGACGGAGTTAATGTTGAAAGCTAGAAACACTAACTGTTGACTAGGCTGAAAGACTGACTTTTCTGGGTGAATGTAAAACCCGAGAGAGTCGAGAATATTGCAAGTATCGATAACATTGTTCAGACATTCATAGTAGCTGTTGCCTTGCAGATAAAAATCATCAATATAACCCAGTACAACATGCCCCATGCAATGTAACTTAGCCAGTGGGGGTTTTAGCAATTTTGTAAATTTACGTGGTGCACACGATAAGCCATTAGGCATGCAAGTATACTGATAGAGCTTATCGTTCCACAGGAATCTAAGGTATTTCCTGTCGGTTTTTGCAACTCTGAGTAGTATGCGTCTTTTAAGTCAATAGAGGCCATATAACAGTTACGCTGTACTAGCTTTAAAACTGTATGCAGAGTGTCCATTTTAAAATGCACCTTCGGCGAAAACATGTTTAGTCGTTTTAGGTTAAGGATAAGCCGGTGGCTTCCATCTTTTTGAGGTCTGACAAAGATGGGTGATATGATCTCCTCAGGGTCGTGCCCGGTGGGCTCAATGACATGTTTTCCCGCCAATTTCGTTAATTCGTTGTCGATCGCTAATTGTTCACTAGCACTAAAGCTTGGCACGTAAATTCTCTGTTGTTGTGGTTTGGCGGTAAAATCTATTCTTAAACCAGCGACGCAACTCAAAATATCCTTGTCGGAAGTAAAGCCTTTCCAACAACGTAGATTTCAAAATAACTGTCAGATTTTCAAGGCCGGAAACCTTGTCCATTATCTATTTCTAATGCTGGTAAAGTCAATATTGAAATCACTATTATAATCAAGGGTAGTYGAAAGTCTTACCTGCTGTTTGAGTAGATGTAAACTTTGCCTTATTTCGAGTCGTCGGTCTTGCGTGAGTGACGCGGTATTTTCTTGTAGCCCGGTTTTTTGTGGCCTTTCGACAAAAAAGGACGCTTGTAGGGGTGTGAGGATTGATAATATTCAGAATTCCGTCGTTTGTACCCTCTATGTTGATGATGTTTAGAAGTCCCCACCGTGACGCCTATGCGAGTCGCCTCCTTTGCGTCTCTGATCTGCTTCGCCAGATCGTCACCGAATAATAAAGAGTGGCCAGGGGCTCTTCCATCACCTTTGTGCACAGTGAATGGAACTCCGATTTTAAKGCAGGTTTCATCTGTTCCTTTCGCAGGCCAGTGAGGTCGGAGAACACATGGCTTAAGAGCCCAATTGTGTCCACCCCATCAGCCATGATTTGCTTTTGCTCAGCTTTTGGTATGTTGAGCACTAGAGCTTTGTCGCACATGCTAAGAACAGCGCATGTGGCTCTCAAAAGATTTTTCTGCATATTGTTAAGCCGTAAGTCACTAGTGCGGCGATGGGTGTTCAACTGGCTCCAAATCTCACCGTTTACCCTAGGGACAACAATCTTGGAACAATTTTCCGGTACTTCGTGATTAGAGAGTAGGGTTTTCAGCTTTTCCTGAGATAGCTTTTTGCCCCAACGCTTCAGCGTCATGTCGGTCAGCTTCTGGATAATCTTAGGTCCCAAATTCAAGTCATCGTTGATGGCTGCCTCTAACTCGGTGAGGACGCTTTCTGAAGGACTAGGCCCAGAGTCTTTTTGAGACGCTGGGCGCCCATTTGAAGCTTCGGACTTGTCTCCTATTAGTTTATCTAACTCATCCTCCGAAGCACACAGACTCATGACTTCGTCGTCGGATTCCTCACTAGAGGAAACTTCGCTCGGTTCTTTAGACCGACGTGGGGTACTCGCTT